TAATTATTGAGATATAGCTATAGACCTAACGTATAACTATTATTAAAAAAAAAAAATCAGCTAAAAATATTAACTGGATCAAAAGTTATTTAAGTTGTCAGTGAGTGGTGGGCCACCCTGTATATATATATATTTATATATATATATATAAATTTGTTCTAACAGCCGTTATCTCAAAAAAGTATCGACAAATTCGGGTAATAAAAACCATTGTGAATTTCAAAGGATTTTATGGCGTACTTCTCCATAGGAGAAAATAAAAGTTTTCCAGTTAAAGACGTATAGGACCACTTCCACTGGATTTAGAGCAACTGGGTGCCTACCTAAGTTAGTAAAGTAAAAATACAGAGAGAATACAGTAAGAATTCGAACGCGAGTCAATCTACTTAAAATGATTTTTATGTTTACCTATGGGTACGTTAACAATGAACAAGCGATAATACTACGCGACGATATTATGAAGATGACAAAAAGCGCCAGGTTAGAGCTATGGAAGTGGTCGACAAACGAATGTAGCTTTATAAACGGTAATAAAGATAGTGTTGTTAAATACAATTAGCAGTCGTTTAATAATCATATGGCGAAAATATTTAGACTATAATGGTACCAGCCAACAATATTTTTCAATAAACTAGCTTTGTTTGTAATACTAAAAAATGAAGAAAGTTATGATAGTCTCTCCAAAGATTCCAGAACACTTAATAAAATCAAACAATACAACATGGATCCTGGTCAATGTATTATATATTAAATATATATATATTATAAATAATAAAATTATTGATTTTCATCAAAATGGTTTTCACACTAAAAAATATTTTATATATTGGTTGAAATATACTAATAATCGAAAAATCCCGACTGTGATTAATATATTTCTTTAATTGTAGTCCCTTTAGTATGTACTTAGTAATTGTTGAGTATTCTTTAACCATATAGGTTATTTGTTCTATGTACATCAGGTGGATAATAATTTTATACTTTAATAATTTAAAATTCATAATATAAATAAATAATTTATATTGTATTTCTAGTACATATGATGTCTAATGGATAATATTTTTGATATCTTTAAAATATGCAAGAAATAATATATTTATTGTGTATATAGATATAAGATGTATATTATATATAAATTCCATATATAATATTTGTAGATTTTCTATAGACGTTGTTACATGTCGAAAGCAATGTGTTTTTGCATTGAACACCACAAATCCATGTATTGGACGATCACTTTCAAATAAACAGTAATATCATACAATTTAATAAAAAAATCAGAGTAAAACTGAAGTCAGGAATAGTGTTTAGTACCTTACATCACTTATTGATTGTTGTGTATCATATTATATTTTATGTAATGAGTATTATAAATTCAAAGGGCATAAATCTAGTTAAATAGTTTTATTTTGATAAAATTTAGTACGTCTAGTAACGATAAAGTGTCAGTAATACATTTATCTCATATAAGTTACATGATTTACTTAACTATTAAAATCAAAGTGCTAAGTGTGACGATATATGTATCCTGTAAATAGTCGTCATTGCCAATTATAAAACTGAATGAACGCAGCACCCAGTGATATTCACGCGGGTATGTTAACGATCGTTGTTTTATTTTGTCTTAAGTCAGGCTATGTCGAGGAAATGGAACAACAAACAGGTGTAACACAACGAATTCATAAATAATCATAACACAATTTCTCGACAGCATATCGATATTTACTTAACAAGACCTATAGGAATACTCAACGGATAGTAATAAGTATCCATACACTTATGTTATATAAGATTTGTAAATTTGCTAAAGACTTGGTAACACGACAAAATTAATGCGTTTTTGCATTGAATAGCACAAGAAGAACTACAATTCAAATTAACTAATTCTAATGATTACTTAAATCAAATGATATTTTACAACTTCACATGACATATTTTGTATGTAATTAGTTAATAATTAAATATTAGTATGACATTTAAATTATTTAATGCTAATCAAAATTAAGGAAATCATATTTTATTTAATTTTGTAATGATAAATAAATATTATACTATGAATAGAGGTCTTTTATGCTCTATGCTTAAAGATTTTTTAATTTAATGAAATTAATTAAATGTCTGAAAATCATAAAAGTAGTAAAATATCAGTTGCTATGTGATATTTAGCATTATTACACAAATATATATTAGCTTGTTGTTAAATTTGAAATTTTGAAAAGGTATTTTGATTCGTTGAAGATGAAGAAGTTTTTTCGTCGTTGTCTAAGAGTATTCACATGCTGCGTTTCAAAAAAAAAGAAGAATAAAGACGGTATCTTAGCTCAATCTGGCTCAGGTATTTTTTAATTAAATTTAGCTTAAAACGATAGTCAACGAAAATTCTCTAAGTATCCAACATTTTAAGGCTACAGAGAATTAACACAATCGTTTATTTTATCATTTTGTATTATGTTGTTTAACTATGACGAAAATGATATTAAAATCGCACTCCCTAATTTTATTTTTTTAATTTTAATAATTTTAAACTGATATCATTATTGTCGAATGCTTTATATAGGATTAAATAAATAATTATGCATATTTTATTTTAATAATAAGAACTATAAATAAATTGTATCACACTCGCAACGATTTGATTTGTAGCATTTTAGGTACCAAGTTGATATTAACATATAAGACTTAGTAACATTAGAGTGATGTTTAAATTAAACTAGCCACTACTATAGCTTAGTGAAACTACAAAATTCGTTACCTGCTTGCTAATCCGCTTGTATTGTAAGCTTTGGGTGAAAATGGACGTGCTAATCTTTTAAAACATCATTCTTTTAGCAAAACCTGCCAAACTTTTTGATACGTCTTTTTTTTTAAGACCTACAAGATAACTACCATTTTTCTCTAAAGTTTGGAAAAGATTTATACTAAAAGGCTTTTGCTGTTAATTGTTGTAAAAAATATATTTCCCCTGATCCAAATTTTATTTTTTTTTCATACCCGGCATTATTGTAAGCCGCCATGGAAATGTCGTTAGGTATTAGGCCCACGCCGTCTATAAATCACACCACCACGATGTGAATCAGCTCTTGATCAATTTTGAGCTGATTCACAACGTGGTGTGGCCTCCGCCGTTAGCCGGATCCCAGTATGGGATCCGTTGGCCGGGTTATACCACGTGGAAGTGATGGCAGAGCTTTGCGAGGGGGTAAATAACTCACGACACAAAACATAAAAACACACAACACAAAATCCTTACCGCGCCGGTCGAAACCAGACCCGCAAGTCTACCTGATTGGGTCCTTGGGGCAGTCTCTGTCTCAGGCGTCCCGCTTCCTTCTTACGGCTCATCATCGATTCGGCGAACGCCTATACCAGAAACCACCCCTCCTGACTTCTCAACATAAGGAACACCATGGACGTGCGCCGAACGCGGACCCCGAGACTCCAATTTTTCCCACTCACTGGTCTACAATTTGGCTTTCTTTAACCCAACCCAACCTCCCACAGTACAATCAATAAAGCTCATTGACTTATAGAGGATATTTCTTTTTTCTTTAAGCAAAAATTTTACTGCTCGTGTGCATTCCTAGACACAAGTCAAGTCTTTGATAAAGAATAAAAACATACTATATAAACTAAAAAAAATTATTTTTCCATAATTTTATATTTTAAAATTGAAAAAATCTATGCTAGTGTTCCTCAAGGAAGAATTTAATTCTCTAAGCTGTTTAAAATTTCTCCTCCAGATCAACCCAATACACTTCACACAGAAATATCTTACTATTTTGATGGTAAAGCCATTAATTCAATATATGAAAACTCAGATATTGCCTCTACTAACTTAAAAAGCTACATTAACCTCATGACCAAATGAAATAACTGGCGAAAAAATCTTATCATGACATATCGGAACACACAATTTTTACTTGACGTCACTATACTTGTCCTAATGTCACTTTAAATAATACTCTAATTCCTTCTTCTGATACAGTGAAATATTTAGGTTTAACCCTCGACAAACGATTAACATGGATACAATATTCGTAAAAAAGACTCGTTTTAAATTTACGAAGTCACTTACTACGCTCGTTTGTTCATTCATTTACTAATAAATAATTAATTAACCTAAAAACTAAAAACTTATTATATAAATCCAATACGGACGTACGGGCTCAAAATAGTAATATAGTCTTATAAACTGTATAATAACATTATACCAGGCAATCTTAGACGCCTAAAGATAAAATACCTTATTGGTAGAACAGACAAAATGTTATATTATCAAATTTAAGTGTCACCAATGAGTGGCTTCTATCTTAAATTTATCATGTATATGTATTATATCAATACATATACATATTGTGCTCTAAATTGTACAAATTATCTATTTTCAAAAAAAAAAAAAAAAAAAAAAATGAAATTCCAATAAATGAGTAGTTCATTAAATTATAATGACTGCATGTTCGAGTCAGTATAATTAATATAAAAAATAAATATTATACTAGTAGTGAGTAATTAACTACTTCGTAAATTAATAATATTACGAAAATAAAGTGTGTTAATGTTTTTCAATTGAAATACTAAATGATAAACAACCTTTTAAAAGTTAAAGTTTCTACCAGTGTCAAAATTGATTATTATAATAAAAATAGGGAGGTATATTATTTTTCATACCTATAAAAATTGTAAAATTGTGTTATAATTTTTATACATCAAAATAGTTGAATCATTTAATATCTAGCACCCGTATATCATGAATATAAGTGCACTCTCAATAGATAAATAGCTACAATATTAGTTAAATTTTACCTATAATGTATTTTCATAATAATTATGAAAATTCATTATCAATTATTGATAAAAGAATATAAAGATATTGTACATTTCTAGTTCAATAAATCATTTAGTGTAATTTTATACAAATTCAGTAGGAAAAATAATATTTAGATTAGTTATTGTTTAAACAATCTTAAAAATAAAATTTTAAATGTTATTAATTAGAAGTTATGGAGTATAATAGATATGCAAATATTAGTGATAATCAAACAGAGTTGGTCCCAGTAGAAAATATTGATATCGATATTCAAAGCGTTGTATTAGTAGATGAATTAGTGGGCGAAGAAAAGAATGAAGAGAGCATTGAGCATATCATAGATCCTGTAGAATTTGTGAAGTCGGAAGTAGATACGAGATGGATTTGCACGTCAAACAATGAAACTGAGAATAATAACTCAAACTGTACGACAGAACACAACGTAACTGTTGATGAAGAAGGCTTGAATAGGCGTATAAACAAAGAAGGCATTATACGTTACTTTGGAAACTATAATGAAGCTGGAAGAATTACCACAAATGATGGGAAATGTTATTATTTCAATAGAGTAAGCATATTTATTATTGCAGTAATAAACCATTAAAATAACATATCCATTATATTCTAATGCAAAAATAATGTATTCTTTGTTTCCTCTAAAATAATTTCTAAAAATCGAGTTACGTGGTTCTGCCATACAGCAAATATATATTGATGAATTTAAATGAAATGAAAAAGATTCTAGAGTTAAAATTACTTTTTTTTCATAGGAAGATATAGTTGGTTATTTTCGATATCATAGAGCTCCACAAAAAGCTAAGTTTGTTATTGATGCTTCGCGACCAAATTGGGCGAAGAATATAAAGATAATTGGAAAAATATATGGTCAACGGTAATTATTAAATGTTTTAACAATAAAAAAAAATTAACTTTTTTTGCACCTACAGGTGCTATTACTGTTTAACGTTTGGTCACTATACAGAGGACTGTATGCAGCTAAACATAGACTCCTTTAATTTTTACTATCCTTACATGTAACATACCAGAACAAACTTTTTGTTTGTACTATTTAATTAGTTAGTATTAAAACTTAAGGTGTTCAACAAATTGTACTATTTAAGGTAATAATAAAATTTAATATATTATTCACATTAGAGTTCATGTAAGCACTTAAATTTATTGATAAAATAAAATGTATAATAGCCAACAAAAATAAATTTTTTTGTTTATTTTGGCGGTCATTGAGACACAGAAGAAAAGGTATCAGGTCAAGTTAAAAGTTATCTACGTTTTGTACATATAATTCGTGATTTTAACGCTCATTACGGACAGGTAAATGGTCAGATTTAAAAAAATATATATGGCAATAAACAAATTACGAAACGCAATATTTTATTCGGGATTTATGGAAAATAAAGTTACTGGGATGAGTCCTAGCCGCAACATATTAAAACGAGTTGGTTGAAAAATTAACATTAGTAAATGAAATGTGTATACCTAGTAAATTGTTTACAAGTAATAAAATTGTGGACTATCAGTTTCATAGGTTTTCCGATAGTTCCGAACGTGCGTACGGTGCACCGTTGTTTGTACACAGAATAGATGAGTATGGCACGCATACTGATAACGCATAACTAATTTGCGTGAAGTCCAACGTGACCCCGTTGAGTGTAGTGTCGCTGCCGCGACTAAGAATTATGTGCAACGTTGCTTTTAGCACGTTTGGTATATAAAATCATTCCTAAAGTATACATATTGCAATTTAAAATACTCTGTTCAATACCACATGACCGCAATTTACTAGGCGATATGAATAATGTTTTTGTAGTAATATAAAAAATAAACAAAATTAAGATATGTTTTGGGTATATTGATCAAGGTTGGATATTTGGGGATTTGGTCAAATCGTGAGCAACGAGGTTCTATGGCGGTTGTAGAGTCCGAGGGCTTAGAACAATAAAGAAAAGTAGTTATAAAAAGAAATGATAAAAGTTCCTATTATAGACATATTATAAATGATCTAAATGGTAAGCACGTTATATAGTACATTGAGGCAACGAAGAGGCGGTAATGTGATTATGCATTATGAACTAGTCTATAAGAATTAATTAAAGTTTTAAAAAGAATATAAATATATGATCTATTGCTTTATTCTTCTTTATTCGGATTATTAATTCTAAATAATTGTGTTAATATGAAATGATTTGCCTTTGTAAATAACGTGTAAATGATCGTAGAGATTTGCGTAAAGATTTATAATGTTTTTCATGTAAATAAATAAAGTCTCGATGCAAAAATAATTATATTCAATATAGTCTTAAAATGAACCGACGGCAACAAGGAGTCGCGGCTAGTTTGAGAAAAATTTAATTAGATAAAAGAATTCTGATTTCTACACTGAATTCAAAGCTTTAAGTGTGCCTCTTTTAGAAAATCAGCACATTTTTATATTATTTTTAATCACCCCATCATTTGTTTTGCTGACAGCGCTTTTAATGATTTTTAGTTTACTTTATAAAATTTGAAAATAACATGATAATTTATATTAAGATAAGATGCATAGTATACAATAATCAATTAGAAGTAATATTAAATATAGATTAGAAATGTTTCAATAATAAATGTAAGATGCGTAATACAAAGCATTGGGCATTTACGACACTATTGACCGAAGTGAGCCATCGTTAAACGATCAAACAATAAAAATACTCAGTTTTTGGTGTCTAGACGACGATGTTTTTAAATACAATATAGGCAATTTAGATATAAACCAACCAATTATGAAACGTAGTAATTATATTTAACCCAATAAGACTAAATAGGGGAAGCTCATCTTACATTTAAAGAACTTAGCACCATTCCAACAAGAGTAGAGACAACTCCTATCTCTTCGCAACTCTTTCCTTTGATCCATCCAATCCATATTTATTAACATCAGCCATACCAGAGCATATATCCTTTATTACCGCCATAAATCACTTAGATTGATGGAAAAGTATCATCGAACTGTTATTCCGATTAGGGACGAGGTGGGAGTCATCAATAATTAATTCAGCATTAGTAAAAGGCAAATCGGGTTAAAAAAATGACTTAAGATAGGTAAATTGGTATTGATTAAAAAGGATAACTTAACTCCTCTACAGTGGAAATTTGGCCAGGTTTGTGCTCATGACATAAACAATGATAATGTTTCAAGAGTGGCTTCACTCCCCTCTAAGACTGCTTATATTTATATCTCGATTGATGTAAAATAAATAACATATAATTTGTTTTCTTATATTGTTTAGTATAATTTGTATTTGTGTATTATTTATATTGAGTGTGATGTCTTTGTAATTTTCATGTTGTAGTGATGATATTTGTATATTAACGTAACATGACTCCCACATAAAAAGATCAAATTTCAACAATATTAACACAAATCATAATATGATTTGATAGTTATTTATGATATATTATTTATAAATAATAATCAGAACAATATACTAGGCTTCGCATCTCTTTGGGCGTATTTTAGGAGGATATTTAATTTTTTTTATTTTGTTAAACATGCTATAGAATTTTTTTTGCTTAATATCAAAGTGATGATCAAGAAAAGGTCATTAGGTTCTTATTTCTTAGAAGTAGCCTAAAAAATATTGACAGCGTTGGTTCAAGGGAGCAATCGCCCATATCCTCCTTAAATATTTCCTTGGTATATAAAATAATTATTAATTTATAATTATAATAATTGTATTTATATTATAGAATAATTATACAAAAAAATCGTCAGATTATTTTACCTAGGACTATGTAAAACATTTAATTTTGATAAAAATATTGGTTACCATGATTTGACGTTGGGAAGCATAGTTATCACAGATAGATTTTAATTTTTAGGATAAACTCATACATCATATAGTAAATAAATAAGATTATTAATACTGTACTGTTCTTATAGGCGAACAGTACGGATAACTTAGTTATCTGGCGCTGGTGTTCCGTTTGAAGCCATGGTGACCATGGAACGACTTGTGGCTCCTCGCTTACTGATCCTCCGTGCCCGGCGAATAGCACCTAGTGCAAACGGTTGTAGGTTAATCTCTTCGGAGTGAAACCCACATAGACGGTAAAGACTGTACTGTTCTGATAATGATTGTACCAACTTATATACTTATTACCGTCCAGAAATTTATATATAACATATAACATTCCTTGATAAAATATCATTTCTATCGAATCGGTAGCTTTGACGATTGTACCAAGTACGATATTTTGTCAGCATTGTATATAACTATGTTGGACCTACACAATTGAATTCTGTAAGTCAAGACTTATTTTGCGATTGCTAAGTATAAGAGACGTTTGTTCTCTTGTAATAATTCAAAATATTTTCCAATTAACCAATAGAGTTTGTGCAGTTTATCCTGAAGTATTTTCAAGCCATCCAAGGTGTATTCCCAGATATTTAGCTGAATCATTTTGTGAGATTATTTGTTGATTTAAATATATTGCAATGTCACTGGTTTTACGTAACGTAAACTTTACGTGCACAGACGTTATATTGTTAACCTTGACCTTTCAACATTTCAATCATGTAAAATTATTGTTTATGGTTATTTGGATTTGACGCAATATGTATTGAAAAACAGACAGAACAAACTTTCCATATAAAAAGTTACATACCTATAAGATATATTTTGTGTGAGAAGATTCGTTTTCTTCTGTCTTTCTCAATACATATTTCAATGTTTAATATCGTGAAAAACATTATAAAAATTCAAATTTTCACAAACTTTATTATGCTATAAGAAATTCACTACTGAACATTAATATAATAGATTTTATCAATTTTTTCTCTTAAGTGCACTATACAAAATGGATATCTTAAATTTTGTTTTACATTTCTCGTAAATTCAATTTTTTTTTTAATTTAATTAAAAACTATTATATTTATTGATATTTTTTAGGTGTAAGTTATTTTTAAAAAAATCAACGTAAATATTGTAAATATTTATTTAATATGGTATATTTTATCTTTTTGTATTTTCGCACAGTGTGCATATTTTAATTCATTATTTTCTCTTCTTTTGGTTAAATTGCCATGATGTCTGTATTTTATTAGTTAATAACTATATACATGTTAACTAGGAATTTTCTATGACAGATGGTCAATTCTTATATTTTTTTTCCTTTATCTCTCCCCCTTGTTTCATGAGCTGACAATTCCTCGGGCGTCATCAGGGTGGACATGGTGAACATCTTAAAGGGCCCTCTAAATTTATGTAGAGGTTACCTATTGACGTTGGTGACATGTTCATTATACCCTGATTTTTTTTCTATATTCTCCTATGTTATTATCTATTATTTATTAATTAAATCGACTCTTTAATATTATAATTATGGAAATGGATATACTCTTTGTCATAATAAAGTAAATTTCTCTTTAGGAGAGAATACCTATGTCGTTGCATGACTGTCTATATACAACTTGCGATACATGATTGTGGAAAACCACTATTGTATTACATTTATGTGAACATAATGTATAATATAACTAAAAAGTATTTTACCGGCTGAAGTAATATTAATTGAATAATTTTCAACTTATATATTTTTAAGATTGATGGAGTTATCTTAAAGCTCTGATATCTTGTATACACATTTCTCTTGTGTTTGACTATAGTTTCATCATTACTTTTATTTTTTTTTGTTTCTCTTAACTTTAATAATTTACTGTAGTGTTTTTGTTCTTTATATCTTCCCTTTTATTCGAGGCATATGTTTTTAATTAATTATTTAATTGGATTTTATGTACAATTCTCTTTTAAATATTTTTTTTATGTTATGATAAAAAAAACAGTTTGTTTGTAATATTTAATACATTTTAATAATTGTACTAAATCATAGCTTATTTATAACCTTTCTCCCTAGGATAAGGTACCAAAATCCCTGGTGCTCCGGCTTTTCCTCATCTCAGAGTGAATCTTCCTCGGGGTCCTTGTAAATTTGGCTTACAAGTTTAAAAAAACAAAAAAAAACACTATTTTAAAGAACAT